TTGCCTTTCTATAAAATGTCACCAATGCATTAAATAATTCGAAAACAGTCTTTGTAAATCAATCTGTACTTATTAGATTTATTTAAATGATAGCATTAGAATTCCATGTGGAGATTTAATTTGGTTTTAAAATAACTCCCTACATGCAGAACACTTCCTAGGGTGGGAGAGGCTAGTTCCCAATTATTTTCATGCCGTCAGTACTAAATGTGTTTAATGACTCACTTACCTACAAGCTCTGGGTTGTCTGAAGACCTCTCTGTTCAGTGGGATGCACATATTTTACTTAAGGCTATTTTATAGGGTAAAAAAAAGGAAAGAGTACAGAACCACAGGATTTTCAAATGAAATGAAAAGTAAAAGGTCTTACCTTGTTTGTGTCAAAGGTGTTATAAACTTGATCAATATGTTTATTGGCCTTCTGATTCAGACCTTGCAGACCCAAAAGCGTCTTAAATTCATGTAGTGTTTGCAGGCCAGATGGATATTCCGTCATAAATGTTCTGTACCACACATGGGTCTCCTGTGTAGGAACTGCTACCTGATCGCCAGTTATAGATTGACCATTCCCCATCTTGACTCACAGTCTACAGCTTTTCCTCAGGTTGTTTTCATGTAAGTTTCCTCTGGATTTAGTCCCTCACTCTTCACTAAAACTGAAGGCTACCATATGCTCTCAGAAAGCTACTCTAAACCTCTTACAGCAGCAGGCTAAATAAGAACAGAAAGCCAGTGAGATTAACTCATCTGCACAGTTTTAAAACCAAGGTCAGTGGGCACTAACTAATGGTATTGTTCTTACCAACATGCAGAGACGTAGGTTTTTTGTGAAGGGAAGAGACAATATTTTAGAGAGGGTAACGCTTATTATATTGTTAGCCATAAATTTTGCCTACATTATTGAGGGGTACAGTGGATCTAATGGCAGGAACTTTGAGTTGCAATCAGGAAGTCTAGATTCTATGCTTTGTTCTACCGCTTAACTGCATTGAAACATTACTTCTGTTTTCAAGTCTGTTTCCCCAACTGTAAAATAATAATAAAAGGTACTGTGAAGATAAATTTAGATAACATTTTTACATGAAAAAATTATACATTCTGAGTATTGTTAAAAATAAGTCTATGTGTAAGAGAAAAAAATCAAATAATTAGTAAGAAAAACTGTAGATGCAGTAGTCAGTAAAGTGTCATCTGAAGATAAAGGAACATATTGGGCTGTGTTTCTGGCATTGTTCTTCCTTTTTCTCCCCCACTCTCTGTTCTTACCTTTTTTTTTTTTTTGGTCTCTCAAGTGTCTACACATGCCCTGGGCCTGCCAGCTTTATCTCACTCCAGTTTTCTAATCTGGCTAATCTTGTCCTAACCAAGCTCCATTTGCCAATGAACTTAAGAAGAGGGTGAATGTACCTAAGAACTGTAGCCAAGGTCCAGTAGTGGAAATGAATGCTTTGTGTGGTCCTCAACCCATTTTGCTACCAACCATACTTGGAACCAGAAAGCCTCAGGCAGAAATAATATAATTCTGTTACTCCTAAATTATAGTTCTCCTTTTCTAACCCCACTCAGTTTTTACTTCTATTTCCATTTTGGCCCGGCTCATACATCTGGTCTCTGTCTTTGTCCCTGTTCTTTAATCCTGATTACCTGTTTATTATAAAATCCTTGATTCCTAAGAAGGAGCCATTGGGGCCTAAATAAACTGCCTTGACAAGAAGTGATGGTGGTTATGGTGAATATGGTTAATTTTGTTTCAAACATATCAATATAGACTCTTGATGGGACAATCTGATGTCATAATTAGATTTAAATAATAGGGCCAGGCACGGTGGCTCATGCTTGTAATCCCAGCACTTTGGGAGGCTGAGGTGGGTGAATCACTTGAGGTCAGGAGTTCAATACCAGCTTGGGCAACCTGGTGAAATTCCATTTCTACTGAAAATACAAAAATTAGCTGGGTACACATCTGTAATCCCAGCAACTCAGAAGACTGAGGCAGGAGAATCATTTGAACCGTGGAGGTGGAGGTTGCAAGCGAGCTGAGATTGTGCCACTGCATTCCAGCCTGGGCGACAGAGTGAGACTCCATCTAAAAAAAAGGTGAAAATAAGGTCATAGAAATGTGAAACTTATCCATTTGAAAGAATTACTTGAAACCATTAGAGTGAAATATACTCTTTTTTGGAGAGTAAAAAGGACAAAGGGGAGACAAGGGGAGACAGTGAGGGCTCAGCCTCAGGATTATTCAGCTAGGAATATGAGAAATATCCTGCTAGAATTTTCCAAAAGCATTCTTTGGGGAAGTCTCCTTTAAGACTCTTTCTAAATGTCTGCTATAGATGCTCAGATGTGCTAACTTCTTATCCTCATTAACATTTACTAATCTTTACTAATATTAAAGAAAAAATGGATACTGATGATGGCAGAGGAAGGTAATAATAGTTTTCAAGGAGGCCAAAAAAATCCTTTGTGGAGAGAAAACTTTGGATGGATCAAGAATATAAGGACCTGAGATCCGGAAACTGTTTCTTAATATAAATTAGACTTTAAAGAAAATCTGCATAATGATCTTTTGCTGATATAGAAAAAAACTTTAAAATTATTTGTAAAATGAGAATTCTTATATTGAATACAATATTGAAGTCCCAAAATCAAGAGTCTTGCTGTATAAAATATTAGCCAGTCATAAGATAATGGGAAAAAGCCTTCATTTATGAAAAAAAAGCCTTCATTTATTTACGCTAAATAATTAATCTAACTGCAATAAATATAACTAGGAATGTGCAAGATGAATTTGAAGAAAATTTTAAGATGGTACTATAGGGTTCCAATGAAGACTTAGGAATATGCAAAGGCATATCTTGGTCTTGGGTAGAAAGACAGTATTAAAAAACATGTCAGTTTTCTCTATGTTAATCTGTATTATCACCACAAACCCTCACCTAAAAAAAAATAAATAGAATTTGAGGAATAGTGGTGGCTATAAAATGCAATTCTGAGAATCAAGCATAAAAAAGTACACACGAAAATTTTGAAAAATAAAATTATTAAGTGGGGCTACCAAAACAACATGAATCTGGCATGAGAAAAGGTGAAGCGCTCAATTAAAAAAAGATTTTTTTTTATAACTAGGCTCGATTACAAGCAAGAATTTAATATGCAGTAACGGTGGTATGGTAAGGCAGAAGGGAAATAACTGATTATCAATTAATAATTCTAGGAAAAAGCTATGGCTATGTGGACATGCATACACACACATACATACATACAAAGGATTTCTAACTTACTGCCACTCCAAAATAAATTCCCGATAAATCATAGGTTTAACCATACAAATCACTATAAGAAAACAAAGCAAAATTGTTTAATAATCTTGGCATTAAAAGTCCTCTCTAAATATGACCATAGAAGCCATAAACAAAAGGAAATTAAATCAAAATCTTTTTTTTAAATCCCAGATGATTCAAAACACTATAAAAACAAAAATAGAAAGTTTGTTAGAAAATATCTATAATACATATCATATAAAAAAGATAATATCCCTAATATGGAGATAGTTCTTACAAATCAGTAAGAAAAACACCCACCACCAAGTAGAAAAATTGACAAAGTCCAAATTTAAAAATCTGAATGACTTTTAAACATATGAAAAGATGCTCGATCACACTCAAAATACAAGAAATGTACGTGAAAACTATAAGGATATACCACTTTTCACCTGTTTGATGAGCAAGATAAGAAAGTCTGGTAATCCATCAGGTAGGTGAAGGAACTCATACACTGCTGTAGCAGTGTAGATTAATACAATTTTTTCAAAGTGCTATTAGGCAATATCTAGTCATAATAAAATGTATATACTTTTTGATCTAGCAATTCGTTTGCTGAGACATTTGACAGAAGTAATTGAATATGTGTGAAATGAGCAAATTTATAAGGAAATTCACCATTGTGCACATGTAAACCCAAAAGAATAACAAATATGCATAGATAAGGAATGGTTAAACAGATTTAGTGTTTCCACAGAACGAAATAATAAGGAGCAGTTGAAGATAATGAGAGGTTATCTCATTATCTCTCAATACATATATATTATTGCATGTACTGGTCTTAATATGTAATGATCTTGAAGGTATATTGAGTGGAGAAAAGCAACAGCATCTTTTGGATGCTATTACATCCATATCTACAGCTATAACATGATATATATGGTTTTATAGATATTGATTGTTTGGGGATGGATTTACAAGTAACTGGTAAAAGCATGCCTCTTGAGAAGAGTACTTAAGTGGCCAAAGACAAAAATGGGATAAAGAGTTTACCATATTCCATTTCTCATGTTCCAGGCTTTTGCTATATGTATATACGTAAATTAAAATTATACAATTTCACCAACGAATATTAAATGTTTTATTGTTTTTGTCTAAAGTTTCAGACATTTCTAAACAAAAAAATAAACACTTATCAAGAGTGTAAAAACATACTTCTTTATGTATCTGTAAATGTAAAATAATTTTTACATATGTGTAATACGTATATATATTATGCTTAAGAGATTTATTCTTTATGACTAATAAAATTATCATATAAACCATATCTCAAAGTTTTAGGGGGATTTATATTTTCTGCTTTACTGAGTGTTGGCTATAGTGGAGAAAGGGCATAATGTCTTTCTTTTTCAGCATCTTCAAGAGGAGGTAATTCTGTAGTCCTTCGCATATTGATTTTGAAAACATCTGCTTTTAAATTTTTTAAGGAATAACAAAATTACAATAATAATCTTTTTAAGGAATAACAAAACTTAACCTTAAGTGACATTTTCATTTAGTAGCTCACATGAAAATTAGAGAACTCTAGAGATGATTAGTATTTCTGAAAGAAAAGGAAGACTTAGATAACAGGATTAGGGAATATAATAAATTGTAAATTGGTCTCTATTTCTAGAGTATACAATTTTCTCATTAAAAAAACAATTATTTCTTAATTCTTATTGTTAAATAGAACAATTACAGTAACAAAAACAAAAAGGAAAAATTTTTAAAGAATCTTCCAATTTTCTTACTAGCATTTTTTAAAAGGGAATACCTTCTCTGACTCTTAATTTTCAGGAGTATTTTCATTTTTTTTTCTAACAAGAGCCTATGTCTTGTATCTATGGTCACTTTATTTTAATTGTTCTGGAAGAGGAGATTATCTTCTTTAAGCAAAGCTTCTAAATAGGTGTCAATCTGCTCCAGGTCACCTTCTGGACCACCCTGGAAAAGAGAAGCCACAGTCACACCAGGGAAAGAAGCTGCAGAGCTTCCTCCTGTAATTTGGGCAGCCTCCTAACAGTCTCCGCTATGACTCATGCTGCAACAAAAGTCACCTTATATTTGAATCATGCTTTTAACCTTTCAAAATGTTTTCTCATTTAATGTCATTTTATGCTAATGAGTGGTTAGAAACTTGGTTCATATTTTTATTCTTTAGTGGAAGCTAGTACAACTATTTTTTCTCTCTTTTTAAAAAACTACTTGCTATATTCCTAAAGGCCCCTCAGTCTAATCTCATCCTTCTCTGTTATAGGTTGTCACCTCCTATTTTTAAAATTTATGAATCTTTAGTCTTGTAGGCAAGAACAGACAAGCAGGCAAATTCTGTCTTCTCTGTTTCTTCTGTTTCCATTGCAGCATCTTTTCTCTCAGCTCTTGGCTTACTACCCTGGTCTGTTCCCTTCTCTTTATCCTCCCCTTCTCTCTTTTACTCAGCTCCCTACTGAGGCAATTTCATGGTCTCCTTTCCTGGGCTTCTTGATCCATGGAACAGTTAGACGTAGGAGGTCTCTAAAAAGTTCATGGAAAATGCATATTATGAAAAAACTATGTGGGCATGGATTTCAAAATTTTTTGAACAAAAATAATTTGTTATGACATATTTGACCAGGATCTAGTTTGATGCACTAAAAAAATAAGATAACAGTTTGAAAGGAGCTGAAATTAAAGCAAGAACAGACATAAAATTTATGGTGAAGCTTGGGTGGAAGAATGTCAAAATCATACACGCTTCATGAAAAGTTTATGGGGACAATGCCCCCAAAAGAGCCTGTAACAGAAAAGAATGAGATTAGACTGAGGGGCCTATAGGACTATGGCAAATAATTTTTTAAAAAGAGAGAAATCAGCAGTTTACAAATGGATAACTTGTTTCAGATCGGATGAGATGACGTTGAAGATGAAGCTGGCAGTGTCAGACTGCCCACACCACTTTACAAGGGAACAGTTAACCTTGTTCATGCTCTAACTGGAGAGGATGGATAATTAATAGCAGAAACAAGTGCCAACCCCACGAATATCTCAAGTGGTTCAGCTAACACAAATCTGACTGAAAAATTAAAGTTGAGCAAATTTTCCACTCAATGGGTGCCAAAACCATTACAACTAGATCAGCTGCAGACAAAAGCAAAGCTTTCAATGGAAATTTGAAACAAGTGGGATCATGATCCTGAAGTATTTCTTCAAAAAACTGCAGCAGGAGATGAAACATGGCTTTGCAAGTATGACCCTGAGAAAAAAGCAATGGCTACCGAGAAGTGGAAGCGGTCCAGTCAAAGCATCAGTGGATCGGTCAAGAGCAGAGGTCATGACAACAGTTTTATACTCAGGGTATTTTGGTTGTTGACTTTCTTGAGGGCCAAAGAACAATAATATCAGCTTATTATAATGGTGTTTTAAGAAAGTGAGCCAAAGTTTTCATAGAAAAACACCTGGGAAAACTTCATCAGAAAGTCCTCTTCCAACAGGACATATGTTCCTGCTTATTCCTCTCATCAAAGGAGGGCAATTTTGTGAGATTTTTGATGGGAAATCGTTAGGCATACACTTGATAGTCCTGATCTGACTCCTTCTGACTTCTTTTTAAAAATCTTAAAAAAAAAAATCTGTAAAGGGCATCCAGTTTTCCTTAATAATGTAAAAAAGACTGCATTGACATGGCTTAATTCCCGAGACAGATCTAAAAGGCTGGTGTCATTCTTTACATAAGTATCTTGACCTTGATGGAGATTATGTTGAGAAATAAAGTTTACATTTTTACTTTTAGCTTTTAATCTCATTTTCCACAAACTTTTTGGGGTCCCCTTGAACGTTCCCTCTTTGCTGACTGATCTAAATCTCATTCCTTGGGCCCAACTATGGGATCAACTAACTCTCCAACTAAGCTGATAAGAGGATTTTTAGGAAGGACCTTTCAGAAACAATCCCAGCACTAAGTATCTAGCACCATTACCCTCGCCTCTGCATCTCTTCTCTGGTTTCATAAAATGTGCTTCAGCTTTACTCCCTCTACCCGAGACTTGCTCTCACGAGGCGGAATTGTAGTGAGTTCCAGCTTTGTGACTGGGACGCTGTTCCTGCAGATGGATTACAATGACGATACTTACCTTGACTTCCAAATACTCGATGACCCTGAAGAATGCCCTGTGACCCTGACATAAGCACTTCTCATCCTGTTAGACATAATCTGATCTTGTGGCGATTATCCTCTGCCTGGTGGGCTAAACTTCTTCTAGGATGTTATATTATTTCCATGCTTCTTCCAGGATGCTACATTATTTCCATGCTATGTTATTTCCATCCTCCATAGAAATTTCATGAGGGGGGATAAGAGTAATACATTTGGATAGGAGCCTTTTGAGTACCTCTTCACTGAGACTAGGCAAAAGAGTTTCATACTCTGCTGACTGAAGCCCTTCACCTGTCTACCAAACTTTGTGAATACAGCAAATTAAATTAGTACAGTTACTCTGGCTACTCTCTAAGAACCTAGAGGTTTGAAGAGAAGGAGTAGTAAATGATTATTCTTTCAGTTTTTCTTAGCCAAAATGGATTTGCTATTATGAAAGCCAATTATTTCATAAACTTGTTTAATAGTCAGGAAGTAATATTCAATTTCTATTGATACAGATTTTCTTTGGTCTTTATCTAGTTTTCTTGTTAGTGAAACAATAATTGCCAGTGAAACACTACCATGTGCCAGGCTCCACAGCAGAACTTTAACACATGAAAACATTTGGCATCCTTCTCGGCCACAAGAACCAAAAGAAGCTCCACAGAGATTCCACTCTCATAGCAACAAATAAACTAGACAAATTGGCTGAAGTGGAACGGCTGATAGAAGCACAAATACAATTACCTTTATATAAAAATTTTAAATTTTAATAACATTTTAACTGTTGCCTAGACCATCAAAGGGGAGAGGGACTTCTCTTTTTGTAATATATTTTAATTAAGCAAAAAAAAATGCTTTTATGTATTTTGTTTTGTACTTAATATAAGATACTTTCAGATAAATTGAAAGATTTATTTTTTTGAAGTGGGAATAGACTCCCACATTTAAATGTTCACAACCAGGACTGAAACCCAGGCAGTCTGGCTTCAAGGTCTATGTTCTTCACATATCATACTGATGTAAGTCTGATAAGTTTCCTTGTCTCTCCCCAAGGGCAAGGCAATCCTCTAGCCAATCCTCCATCAGGGTCTCAGTACCTGTCCCCTCACGTTGCGTGACCCAGGAAGGCTCTGTCTCCTGTTCCAGCACACAGGGCCTATATTTGGGGACAAAATGCCATGTGCTCCCAAGGCTCACTGTTCTGGCTTGGATTTCTCAATTTATTTCTAGACACCACAGGAAGACTTTCATCCTTGACTACATATATTTTCAGTTTTGTTGTACTTTGTGCAGCATTTCCATGTGCTATAGAAGATGGGCTCTTCCTTATTAGTTCAATCCATTACAGAGCTCAATTCTTTATCCATTAAAATACACAAACAAAACCGACAGTAATCCATACTTACACGATGTTTCCTGACTTCTCCCAACCTGTCCTCTAAGAGGATTTATTTTTAATTCTGTATTAAAATAAAAGTAAAGTAAAATATTTCACTGTCTGAAAAAACTGAAGAAAAATACCTACTTAGTGTCCCTATTAAAGGGACATGAAGGGTGATCATGCTATACCAACACCACCAAAGATTCTGAAGTGTTTAAAATATGAGAGAATAGAGTTTCTAAATGTTCTAATATATGCCTTCACAGTTATTTATGATTTCAAAATCCTTATAGGGAGAGTAAGGGCTGGCTTAAGTGACTTGTCCAGGTCAGTAAGTGAATGACAATGTTAGGAGAGGAAGTTAGCTGAGTTCTCGTTCCACAGAGTCTATTTCTGCTGCTCACATACAATTTTATCACTCACCAGTTGAAGTTTCTGCAACAATAGTGCCAGTTTTATACGAAGATTCTTCAGCTCATCCTCAGAGATTTTTCTTTTTCCTTCACATTGCCCCAGAGAGATTTCATTGCGTATTCCTCTTGTATTTGAATCGTAGATAACGGATTGTATTTTCCTCTTTAGCTTTTTTTCATATTGGGCCATGCAAGTATTCTGTATCTGGGAATGTTTTGAAAACAGTTTTAGCATGTTTTAAAAATATTACTTTCTCCCTAATATCACAAGGCAATTTCATATTCCAACTCTGCCTAGATGTACCAAGTGTCAACTTTGTAAGTACTACAGGTGGTCTAAAATTAGGAAGTGTTGATACCCTTAAGGAACTTACATATACTCTGATGGAAGATGAAGAGAGAAGAGAAAAATTTATAATATTCCAGTAATTGTAATTCTAAGGAGGAAAGAGACACATCACAGTGGGCTTGGAGACCTTTGCTCTGGAATGAAGAACCTCATAAAAGTTGAATCTGTTTTTCCAATAGTGACCACCAGATTATCTAAGGCACAAAGTAAGCATGTGCCTGTGACTTTCCACAGCACCAGTAATTCACAGGCAATGACACAATGACCCACCACTTGGGGCTGTCTTGGCAGATGATGTAGTGTTACTTGTAATGCAAGGCTGTAACATCTAGAAAGCATACAAACTACAGAAAGAGGAATTCCTGTTCTCACTCTCTTCAGGTTCCTTATCGTGATACAAAAAGTACAGATAGTTATGCATATGATCCTCGCTAATTGAAGAATCTTGGTTGTTTTCCAAAATTTCATGCTGTGTCTGAGGCACTCATGAAGTAGAAAGAGATAATGGAGAGGCCAAATGCTTCAGTTTTAGAATGACATTAATTGCTTGTATAAACATTTCAAGAAGGCCAAGTGATATTCTGAGGAAAGAGATACAGGGCAAATCCCACTTTGATAAACATTTGAATGTTTATGTAATAAGGAGGTTTCTGTGTTCTAATATGACTGGTTGCCAAGAAAGTTGTAAGTAGCCTCATTTGTCTTCTGGGCCTACCCTTCCCTCTTCAGACCCCCCCACTACATTGACTATGTGCAGACCCTTCTCTGACATCCACATCATCTCCGTTAGCATTCACTGACCTCACGAGTTTCCCTTTTTTCTACAAAATCCTTTAAACAAGCATACAAAAATCCCTACATATAGGAAATTCTGTTTAATAAATATTGACTAACTAGTTCTTAATTTGAAAGCACTGCATTTAATTATAGGTGATACGGACATATACAAGGTACAGTCTTTGCCCTCAAGAACTCCCTAGTCTACAGCATAAGATAATAAAAGTGTGCAAACATTATGTCTTATGGTACATAAGGACCCTATGTCCCCAAGTAAGGCACAAAATAGCAGGAATTCAGAAGAGCAGATATGCAGCACTCACAGCAAGGGAATTTCAAACACATGGGTAAATCCTGCCTTGAAATCCAAGCTACATTTAAAGATCCTGGAAGGGAATCCACTTTTGGACATCCTTAATTCGACCTACAAGTTGATGACTTACAACTAAGGCAACCCCCACCTCTACCAGGAAGCTTCATGGATGCTTCCAGTAGAGGCTGCATGGCAAACCCAGGGAGAGACATCTCCTACGGCCTAAAGGTGGAGTAGGGGAAATAATTCAACTCAGCTGGAATAAGGAGGACAACACAGTTCACATGTCACTGGCCACTTACTTACAGTTTTCAGAACTCTAGAATTTTATAGCTTTTGCCATTCTAAATAATAGTCAGAAAACACTTTTTCATAAAAATAAAAGCAACAATAAAATAAACCAAAACAAATCAAAGATAAATATCAAAAATGGCAAACATTATTGAAACATCATTTGAAAAAACAATAGTATTGCTCATCAGCCATAAAAAGGAACCTGCTACTGACACACTTAAATAGACCTGAAGTGAGGCTGAATTAATAAAGCAATTGTCAAACGACACATTCATATGATTCCATTTCTACAGCGTTCCTGAAAAGACAAAGATAGAGATGGAGAACAGATTAGTGGATGCCAAGAGTGAGAGGTGATTGCGGAAGGGCTGGGTGGATGGGACTAGAAAAAGGTAGCATAAGGGAGATACTTACGGTAATGAGAATTCTGCATCCTGATTTCAGTAGTGGCTATACAAACCTCCATGTATGATAAAATGACATAGAAACTATACACACACATTTTACCAAATTCAATTTTCTGGTTTTGGTATTGTATCATAATTATGCATAATTCTGCGCTGGAGGAAACTGGGTGATGAGTACACAGGACCTCTCTGCACTGTTTTTAAAACTTCCTATGAATCTATAATTATTTTGAAATTAAAAGTAAAAGAAAAAAGCAAAAACAAAAAGCCTCGACACTATTAATACGAGATGAGACCAAGAATGTTTATATAGTACATTACATTCAAAGTCATATTCAGTTTCCGAAAGGTTCCCCTTTAGTAACCTGTAAACGATGTTTTTGTCAAACACTACAGGCCAGCTTTTTGGTTTACTCTCCTGCCTTTCTCTCCAGGAGGTTCTGCTAACCTCTCTAGGAAGTTTCAATGAAAGTTAACCATTCTGACAACTTTTCAAGCTCAGTGTAAAAGGACAATTACTTGTATTAACTTTTTTTGTGTGTCTTAACATTTTCATCAAGGTGACAAAAGAATTGTAACAAGATAAGAGGCTTAGTTCTGCTGGTTAAACTCACTCTTGTAGAGGTATCTGCAGATCAAAAACCAAATTCTTTCCAAACCACATTAACTCAGAATGGAACTAGGATTCGAAAGAAAGGATACTTAACTGAGATTTTAATTTTCTGCCTTGAATTCAAAAAGTAGGAGCTCTAGCAGTTTTGCAGCTCCCAAATCCTAATGAGTTTGTGCAAAGTAAGGAAGACCTACAAGATCTACAGATTTTGTACCGCACAAACAGGAATATTCATTTAACTGTTTATGTTGGCAGGCACTAAAGCGGAAACAATCAGCTTTGATTCAACACGTAACTATTAAGATCCAGATGCATGCAAAGGCACTGGTTGAATGCTGCTAGAATACAGAACTTGATGACGGGATTACTAACTTGAAGGATTCTATAATCTCAGGAGAACATGAAATATAATCATCTATTATAAGGCAGAAATATTAATGCTAAAACAGGGTTTTAAGGTTCTCCCAGAACACAGAGAGGTCAAGATTAATTTCACATGGAGAAACTAAGAAAGTTGTCACACAGAAGATAATATTGACCAAGCTCAATGAGGAAGGATTTCAAGAGGCCCACTGTGGATTGGGAAAGTGGATAGGAGTATTTTGGGGAGTATCAGGAGAGGAAAGGCTCAGAGGTAGGCCAGTGTAAGTAAGTTCAAGCAACTTTGGGGCACACATTTTAGATGAAACAGATGGCCTGTGAGGAAAGAGTAAAAGATGATGGTTTGAGTCAGGTGGTACAGGACCACCAACGCCATCATGTATCACCTACTTCTACAATAGCATTTGTGAAAACCACTGTTGTGACCAAAGAAGCCTGTGACTTATGTAAGGTTCTCCTGTACTTTGATGTGGCTCTCTTTATTAAAGGTACACACCTTAAAGCAAGTTGTTCTGTGTTTTGCTTATAAGGTCTCATTTCAACAGGAACTGCTGGTCTCCTGACGGTTTATTTTGCTTTGATTTTTTGAATCGGACATGCCTGGCATATTAAGGGGATACCGTTCATCATTTATGCTAACACTGTTCACTCTGAATAAACACTTATCTTATTCACTCTGGCTCCATTACTGATGATGTCAACATTGGAAAAAAAAATTAGAAACAGATATAAAAGGGTATATATAAGCTTGGATAAACAGCTGTATGACAGTATAATTCTTAGCAAATTTCTAAGTTTTACAGGGTATTCAAATCAGAGTCCCCTAACCAGTAAGTAAAGAGCTACAGGAATATCCAAGAGCCTTACTAATAAGCTCCTCAAGCTGACTGACACAGACTTTCAGTTGGGACAATCAATTCCTGGTAGGCCAATAAGCCAACCCATCTACCACACACACCCCACATAAATATGTCACTGTCAGCATCTCAGCCATATATGTCTCATGATGTAATGTCAGGGCTCTAGTAAGTTAAAAATAATTCTTCTACACCAACAGGCTGAGAAGTTGTAATATACTTATAGCAAGTAATACACGTGAACTCTATCACAAAGATGAAGTATTAAAGTCTGGATATGAGAATAAGATGAAATAACCAGATGCAGTGGTACCAGCCTGTAATCCTAGCCACTTGGAGGCTAACGCAGGAGGATGGCTTGAACCCATGAGTTCAAGACCAGCTTGGGCAATGTAGCAAGATCCTAACTCAAGACAAAAACAAGCAACACAAAAATAGAGGGGATGGGCAAAAAAAAAAAAGGTGGGAAAATGTATAATGAAAAGAGCTTTGGAGTGGGAAAAATTAGGGTTCCAATTCTGAATCTGATCATGACACTGGGATATTATCTTTCTGAATCCCTGTTTCCTCATTATTAAAAGAGATAGTGGCACTTACCTACCAAAGTTGTGAGAATAAATGAGTTAATGTTTAGCAAAGACCTAGTTCAGTGCCTATCTCTAGTGGCTCTTGATCAATCAATCACAGTTTTACATTATTGATGAAAATAATATTAATGGTAGAACAATATCAAAGCATACTGAAAGTAAACTTTGTCTTTTATTCTTGTTAGGAAATGTTGACAAGCAACTCTTCAAACTGAAAATGTTCAGTTACTGCTTTTTCAGCAAAATGTTATTCAGAAAATAAATTCACTTTTCAGTTGAACAGTAATAGGAGACCAATAACTACTCCCCCCGCCCTTTCACTTCTAGTTGTTTATCACCATCCGGTACATATAAACATCAAAGCCAAATCTATCAAGAAGGGTTGTTAAATTTAGGCATAGTCTGAACTTTAAATACTGTGTGATAAAGTCTTAGTAAGAAGTAATATGGTTTACATTCTACTTTTCAAGTTTGCCTAGTCATATGTCTTTTGGGAATTTACTTCACCATTCTTTTTCATTTTTCAAATGTCTTCCATTACAATTCCTTCCTCAGTTTCAGCTAAAATCAAGTGTAAATGTACCTCATTACCTATCAACCCTATGAGGCAGTGTCTCTGCTTGGAGTCATTCTTGCACAACTCCAGGAAGTGCCAGTCACCTCTTAGTCTTTATAAATTTTCATGTTATGAGAGCTTTCCAGAGATGGCTGTAAACGGAAGCACAGGGAAGAAGATGCTGATGTACGCACTAATGATGGAGCTGGTGGCTAGGTGACAAGGCACAGGTAAAGTGTCAAAAAAGACTCAACATTTCAGGGTTGATCCTGGTTCTAGGCTACACTGGGCTGTGCAATTAGTCTGGGAACCTTCATGGCCATCCTGGCTCCAACATTCATCCTCTAAATCAACTTGGCCAAGTTCACATGTTGGAGTCCCAGGGAATTTTTTTAGTGTAAAATAAAGGATTTTAGAGCATTTGATTATTTGAGATACTTCTGTAGTAGAACTGAAGGGCAATCTGGACTCTTTCTCCTACAGGAAATCCTTAAGGACTAGATACACAGCATTATTTGATAACTGTTAAAAAAAAAATCTACCCAGAGAAAGAGAAAAGTTGTAAACAAATGCACAAAAATATTACTAGTAATCTTGGAATGGCTTGAGACCATGGATGAATTTCTAAGAGAGAGATGAAATTGAAATAATTTAAAACTTCAACCTAAAATTTCTGCTTCAGTCTATTTTGAGGATTCAGTTAATATATTGCTTAAAGCTCAAAATGTCCTGTTTCCTATTCAAGTTACAGTCCTACTCCAAGTGTTTCATAGTTTTATGTTATAGAAACACTTGTATTTTAAAATTCAAAAAGATGTTGCTTTATGACATCTGATATGCTATACATTAAGTCTCAATGAGTGAATGCAAATGTGATTTGCTTTCAAACCTAACATTTGGAAATGCACATTATTTACCCTTTGGAACACAGGATCATTTAGAATATCAATGGCAATATTGAAAGGAAGCTTACCTGGTTGAAACACATTTTCAGCTTTTTGTTGATCTGCTCTGGGCACTGCTCCAGCTGTTTTCATAAATGATAATAGAACAGGATATTAGGTTTTAGAGAATGTGCTGTCTACAGCAGAGTTACATCATGCAAGCATTGAGTATAAAAAGCATCAAAGCCTAGAACTGGCCAACATTGGTAGTATGGGCCTTTTAAGTCTGGGTCTAATTAAATTAATTAACTAAATTATACTTCACTTCCTTCCAAAAAAGGATTAAGTCAGCTTACATAAATAAATGCAGCTTGGTTAGAAAATTGTGCAGATACAAAAATCAAGGTGAAGGAAAATTAAGTGATAAAATAATAAATATTCAAAGGGAGATGTCAAGAGGGCAGCTGGAGTCTGGATTTCTTGGGAAGGGAGTGCTGGAGAAGCAGACAGGGAAGCCACTGGCATGTGGGGTGAGTGACACTATTTAAAGTCAGAGATTAGATGAGGTTATCTAGAAATAGCATTTAATAGAGAAAAGAAAGTGGCCCAGGAAGGAGCCTTCAGACATGCCAACATTGAGAAACCACACACAATAGGAGTCGCCACAAAGCAAGAGGAAAGCAAGACAATGGGCAGTGTGCAGTCCCCGGAGCTACACAAAGAAGGTGCTTCAAGAAGGCGAAAGTGGTCACCTGGGTTGAAGGCCTCTGACAGGTCAGGTAACAGTGACATTGCACTTAGCAGCGGTCACTGGTGGCCCTGACAAGAACAGCCGTCGTTCAGCAGTGGAATCAGAAGCCCCATGGGAGACGATGAGGTGAGAGTAGAAGGTAGAGAGGCAGAAACAATGATTACAGTCTAGAAAATTAGGGATGGTGCCCAGGATCAGACTCACATAGTCCCTCTGTTGCATTAATAATTTGTGCTGAATACCAAGTGTATCCATCATCTCCACAGGCAAAACTGAGCATGGAGGCGGAGAAGAGGCCTCCCACCCTCCTGCACTAGGCAGCTCTTCCCCGCCACTTCTGCCGAGCAGCTTACTTGTGAGGCATACACATCTCAATCAACTTCACAGCCCTGCCAGGGCCCTTTGTAAACTACTGGTTATTACCTAAGCACAGCCAATGGATGTGAGGCTTACTCTTTGCACCCCAAGTAGCTGATCAAAGTTTTCTTTCCAATCACTTCTGGCACTGTTACTGAGAGGCGATTTTCTTCAACTAGTTCAGTGATGTCTTGGTGATTTCAGTAAGATTAGTGCTTTGGATACCTAACGTGCCCGACCTATCCAATCCTCAGCTCAGCTCCTCATAGTAAGCAGCTGAGGAGGTGTATCTAAGGAACAGAGACTCTGTTTTCGATGGGGGAGAGGGAAGTCAGGGACTATGTCCTATTTCTTTCCATCTCTGCAACTATCTGTCTATAAGATCTTTTCCACCTTATTTAACTCACAGCCACAATGATTTCAAATACAGCTTTAATTACAAAATCAAGATTTGTAATTAAAGATGAGAAAGATTCACATCTTCATTCAGTTAAGCCATTCTAGGTCCTCTTATTGGAAACACTTGACATTTTTCTTCACTGAGGATTAAATTCAGGCTATTCTATCACTCCCTCACAGTTCCAGAAAAACCAGCTCACCTCACAACTTAATGCAGGTTCTTCCAATTCTGATGGTAGCTGATACTCAGGGAAAAAATACAGAAGAGTCTCCCTAGGAATACAAGCACAGCAGATATGGGAATATGCTAGGATAACAGAGGTGGCACTCACTTGTCAGAACTGGATTTGTCTTCTGGGTATGAAACATCCTGGCAAAGATGAACATTATTTCCCTCCAAACATTTCATTTTTATCGTCGACATCAAAGTGTTCTTCAGAAAGCACGGACTCGGGAGAAGAAGGTGGGTGTGGCTATAAAAAGGCAATAGGAGGGACCCTTCTGGTGAAGGAACTGGTCTGTATCTTGACTGCATCAATGTCAATATCCTGACTGTGACACTCTTCTACAGTTTTGCAAGAAGCTATGTGAAGGGTACAGGGGATCCCTCAGCATTATTGCTTACAACTTAACATGAACATATATTTCTCTCAAAATAAAAAGGTTACAAGAAGAAAGGAAGGAAGGGAGGGAGAGAAGGAAGGAGGGCAGGTGGGCGAGAAGAAAAGAAACCAGCCAACTTCACAATGCCTCGAAATCCATAAACAACCAGTCTAGGAAAGCCCTGTACCTACTTGAGTGTTCTCTTCTGCACAGAACTCAGCATAGCAAATTTCCTGGAAAAAACTACGCTGACTACAGACTTACTAACTTTTTTCCTGAGAAAACTAAAGAGTTTAAGTCTCCAGAGCAATGTTTTCATCAGAAACTCCAGGACTGCTCTTAGAAATCATACGTGGACCCTGCTCTTTCTTAAATAGTGGTGGCCATTGTTCTGACAGGTGCTTCATTTTGTCAAAAGGCAGTAGCACCCATCCTTGTACGGTGACAGCTTTTCTAGGATTAATCACCTATATGACACATATTTCATTCCCGGGAGAATACGAGATCCGGAAATTTATAGCCACCACATCTTAAAAGTGTATAGTATTCTAATGCTGATATGTTCCAAGAGTCTCATGTATATTATCTAAGGGATTTACAACAATTTTTCCAGTTGTAAAATAATATGGTATACCAACGACAAAACAGCTCTTTCTTATACAATTTACGTTCTTCATACTTTAAGTATATTATTTGTATTAATATTCATTTACAGTTTCAAGGAGATTCAAACCAGAAAGCTGGAAATTCTTGGCATTGCCATTGCCCAAACATTAAATATGACACACAACACTCCTCAGAGTTATCTGCCTGGCTAGAAAGAAGATAAACGGGGTAGAAATGGGATAAAAAGGGGCTTCCAGGTATATAAGATGAGAAGAAATCATATGGCATAGAAAGAAAAGCTGCAACAGGAGTTCCTGGGAAAGGCGACATGGGTCACCATTATGGCCATTTTGTTGGAGCAGGAGGGGTAAGAGACCTTTTACACAAACTAACCTTGCTTCTCCCCAAATCCAGGCTCCCTTTCCCAACCACAGGCTTGAAACCTTTTCAGAGCATTGGTTCTTTCCATTGTGAGTATAAATTCTTCTTCTTTAAATTTAGAGCACATCAGAAATCCCCTAGGAATATGCTCTTAGACAAATAAATATTAGACGGTGGCATTTACTAGGGAAGGGGAGAAACCAAAGGGGAAGTCTGAAGAGAGAAAAAGTTCTGGATTAGTTTTACTTTCAATCTGTGGCATCTCTATTTCAAAATCCATACCAAATACCTATAGTCTGAATACTATCTTACACATGTACTATTATTTCTAAAAATAGACACGTAATAGATATCTTTAAACACAATTTCAGGTTTACTGAAATCACAGTACCTTTTGCCATTTGGCATTTCCTCAACTCATTAATTCTGCAGACATTCTTTAATTCCTACTAAAATATCGCCTTTGTTCTTCAGTGCCCCACAGAGCCTGGCATCATCCCCCCATGCTAGGAACCCAATACAATCTTATTGAACTTATTTGGCCTAGTGGGGAAAAACAGACAAGAAAGCAAACTATTCTAATACCATGAGATAAATGCTTGGAGGACAACAAGAAAGGTGCACCATGGAGTTGGAAGAAGGGACTCTAAGTCATATTTTGGTAGCCGTAAAGGCTACCAAATATTTGGTCAGATTCAAATATTTTTCTTGGTGTTTTTGTTATTGTTATTTTTGAGACAGAGTCTCATGCTATTGCTGAGGCTGGAGTGCCGTGGTGCACAATCTCAGCTCACTGCATCCTCTGTGCTCCCAGGCTCAAGCAATTCTCCCAACTCAGCCACCTGAGTAGCTGGGATTACATGTGCCCACTGCCATGCCCAGCTAATTTTTGTATTTTTTCGAGATGGGGTTTCACCATGTTTCCCAGGCTAGTCTCAAACTGCTGAGCTTAAGTGATCCACCCACCTTGGCCTCCCAAAGTGCTGGGCTTATAGGCATGAGCCACCACACCCAGCCAATTCAACTATTCTTCATAAAGTACTAGAAATGTGCCAAACACTGCTATATAGTTTCTATGCATAATTTCATGTAATCTTTACGGAAACTCTTTGATTGAAGAATTATTCCTATTTTCTCTGGTCATCCAGCTGTTCTTTTTAAACAATAACCTAGTTAATTAGCTTAGTCCTGGCTAAGGAGAAGAGCAAGCCTCCTACTGGAGGTTGACCAAAACTGTCTTCTCCAGCTCAGTAAAAGACCAGTATGAAATGGAAATGACACAGCTCTAATAATGCTTTTTGGCAGACCTCAACTGCTAGTATATGTATTTTCATGGCCTTTTCCTTTAACAACTGGCAGACATGTTGAAAAGTGACATTCTTTTTAAAACTTATTTTTGGTATTTTAAAAATCTAAGATAACAAAAAGCATGTTTATATTTTTATGGAGATGAAGTAAATGGAGTGCCTTATCAAGTTTACACATACAACAATAAACCAAAACAAGGCATTACAGTTCAACAGTTAAGAGCAAGGAGTGTGGGATCAGATTGCCAGGATTCAAATCTAAGTTCTATCACTTAAGTGTCATATAATGCTAGGCAAATTACTTAACCTCTATGAGTCTCAGTTTTCTCATCTGCAAAATGAGGATAATAAAAGCATCTATACAGGATTGTTGTAAGATGAGTGAGTTATCATATGTAAAGCCCTTAGGACGGTGCCTAGCATATAGTAAGTGCATAATATGTATTATTACTTATATTATTGCTATTATTATTGTGATTTGAAATTTAATATTACTCCAAACTTTAGGAACACCTGATAAAATTTAATAGTCTGGAACCCAGTTCAGTTTATTTACCAGTAACTTAACTCAGTTACACTCCAATATTTAAAAGTATTTTAACATCCAGTAATACTATATACTGCTTTTTACATTAATCCCTTTTAATTGAATTTCAAGTATTATTTAAATATATGCTGATATGTTAGACATACTGTGGACAAATCAATCTGTTTTCAAAGATGTTACTTTGAGAAGTCAGCAAACTAATACACAGAAAGTAAGAAGTAATATAAGACAGGAAAATGCCTAATTGAGAATAATTAGGTAATGAGTATGTACACTAAAAACTATATTTTTAATTAATTGTTAGCATTAATTACACAGAGATGGCCAGACACTACTTTGGCATTGTGGAAACAGATAAGGACGATGTCATGTCCAAAGTGACCCAAATGAAAGGAACACCCTTCACACTTAAAAGGTCTCTAACTACTTTTCTTTTTATCATGTGACAAGAAAGGTAAATATAGTAAACAATTCTGAGTATTTCTATATAAATTTACATTGTACACAGCTAGCCACAATCTTCATGCCTTGAAAAATTTAAAGTCTAGTAAATTCAAGAAATTACATGTGGACCAGATATAAAATAGCAAATAATACTACAAAAACAACAACAACAAAAAACAGCAAAATATCTAACAAAGAAAACTGTTTTCACTGGTGAAATGTGAGAAAATATACTACATGTTGCTGAAGGCAAAAGACTAAACTGGTATGACAAGGAGCTCATTTTGTTTTAGTTAGTCTTGTGTTCTAACTTTTTTCCATAGAATATTTTTAATAAAATAATCACCATGGGCCAGGCGCAGTGGCTCATGCCTGTAATCCCAGCACTTTGGGAGGCCGAAGTGGGTGGATCACGAGGTCAAGAGATCGAGACCATCCTGGTCAACATGGTGAAGCCCCGTCTCTACTAAAAATACAAAAACTTAGCTGGGCATGGTGGCGCGTGCCTGTAATCCCAGCTACTCAGGAGGCTGAGGCAGGAGAATTGCCTGAACCCGGGAGGCAGAGGTTGCGGTGAGCCGAGATTGTGCCATTGCACTCCAGCCTGGGTAACATGAGTGAAACTCCGTCTCAAAAATAATAATCATCATCATCACCACGCAAAATTTAGGATGGTACAGAATAGAGCTGATATATTAACACATTCAGCTTTCGGAGTACTCACTTGATAACAGTATGATGACTCTAAGTAATAAAGAGTCTGCCTGTTCATTACGGAGATAGTTTCTGGGAAATTTTAATTTTCTAGTGATGCCTAATGATAGAAGTGGATGCATTTTAAAGTCTTAGTACACTCAATCAGATTATCCCCTTTTTGATCACATGTAACTCACTAAAATTAATAGAAATGTTACACTTAGACAAATAACAAAAATTGGCCAAGAGAAAAATGAGGAAAATAATGAATTTGAAAAAGAAAATTGATCTAACTTAAAAAGAAATTTAAGTGACTATGCATCCGAACTCTGCTGTAACACGCTCAGGAAGGTCTCTCTAGTTCTCCTAGCATGGAGACAGGGTATATGCTATATACGGTTAAGAGCATGGGATTCCAAGTCAGAAAGCCTTGCCTTAAACCCCAGCCCCATCCTGAGTATTTGTGTAATTCTCCATGAGACTTATAATGTGTTAGTTCCTCTAAGCTTCAGTCTCCTCATTCATACAAGAGATTTAAAAATAAAACCAGTCTCATGAATTTGTGGGAATACAAATTAATTTATAAAAAGTAAGTGGGTATCCACCCTGAAATACAATAAAGACTCAAACCTGATAGCTATTATTGTTATTATTTTTTATGGAAACAGCGTATTGCTATGTTGCCTAGGCTGGTCTCTAACTCCTTGTTTCAAGCAATCCTCCCACCTTGGCATCCCAAAGTGCTAGGATTATAGGCATGAGCCATGGTGCCTGGCATGATAGCTATTAAGAAGGCCTGGTTCACTGGTAGCATGTCCAAATAATTAGGTATGTGGTCACAGCCATACATTTTTAATGATATTCATACATTTATTCAAATACATATAGGCACATCCATATATAACTTACTGTATACTACTATGCTTTAGTGACCAACCAATAGGACTGAATCTTAGGACCAGTAACATATCAGGATTCAAATTTATAGCAACCAACTTCAAAGCTGAGGACTTTAAATACTACTTCTAGAAAAATACAGGCAGAGGGAAGGAAACTAGTTAGAGAATCCCAGTCGTTAGGGATTATACTGTAAGCTACAGCAGTGCAATTCTAACGTCTCTCTAGATCGTTGGACAAGCAGCCTTTTTCAGCCTTATAATGCCTGTATCACACTGAGGTCTGGCCTGCTTTCGTCCTATTTCCAGGCTAGCATATGATTGCCAACCAGACAGAATGGAGATTTGGTGGTCAGAACTTGGTATTCTGGAATGTAGCTGTCTGTCTTCATTGCTCCATCAACCACTTGTCTCTGGATCCCTAGTGTTAGTGAAAATAGGTCCCTCGACATAGTCCAAGGTGGGTCCATCCATACTGGAAGAGGAAGAGTGCTTCCTCTCTCCTGGGGCAGGACTAGTGTTAGGCATGAGACAGCAGGTGGGGCCTTCATGCCCATGTAATAATCATAGCCCTGCAGCCCTGGATGCTGCTATAGAGACTTTCGCCAACCCCATGGCATCAAGTCACTATCCTAAGAAAAAATACTATTCCAGGTAGGGCATGTTGTATGTTTGTCCTGGCCCATAGCCTCTCATCCCACCAAGACCCTTAAAACCCAACAAAAGTCTGAGGAACCCAACAAAATCAGTGAGGTACGCTAATTTAATAGTAGTACTGGCCCCACTTACCACCCTCCCATATGGCACCTATTTTACAGCACATTATTTTAGAGCACACTTAAGGCCCCCCACCTATTATTAGTCTCTATTTGGAAAAAACAAAACAAAACAAAAAAAACCCTGAATCATGAACTTTTCCCACTCCTTGTCTCCATCCTTTGAGAAATGAGACATAGATATTTAAATTGCTCAAATATCAGACCCACAAATGTTAACATTCTACACAGAACAAGTAAAATTTGATTTCCCTCAATAAATTTGGTATCCAAACTAAAACAAACAAACAAACAAAATCCCAGATTTTTTTAAAAGGCCATATAATGTCGTAAGAGTCTTTGTCAGGGGAAAAAAGAAAGAAAATTCAGTTAAAATTATTTATTACATTCAAGAGAGGACTAACGTCCACCACACTGCCAGACTATGTAACCACAGGCAGTTACCAGTTCTATTACAAGGGGCATTTAACCCACAGTACATCTAAATCAGCGTAGTTAGGAGACAAGTCATAATGTCACTTCATTGAATGTATTCAGTAACATTAAAACTCAGTAGGGAAAACAACAGGAGTTATCACTGCTTAGAAAGTTCAACAAAGCATGTGGAAATATATGAGTAAATATCTTTACCTTAATTTAGACATCAGTTTTCTCACTGGTTCCTTGACAGGTGTGCTTTGAGAAGACATTGGCATAGAAGCAACTTTACAACCACCACTCACAGAAACTCTGGCTTTGTGTCCAGAGCTTAGATTCACATCTTCCACTGGCACATTGGGCAAGCTGAAGTTTATAATTTCAAAGTAGAAATCATGTCAGATATTAATAATTTCAGGAACATTAATATACAATGAGTGAAATGTTAATATACAACAAATGAGAGCAAGAACATACATGTAAGGATGAAAGTTGCCACCACTGTAGTTATATGAAACAAATTCTTAATTAGAAGAATTTATATTTATTCCAGTCACATATTTTTTCGAAGTTTTTAGGTAGTAACAATTAAATGGAATTGGTGACAATTTATTTTTAACAGTAGTCATATACTGCTTGTCTCTCATTTGTTGAAAGAAACTTTTTAAATTTGTTAAAGTGTAGAATATTTTGGGTAAGCCTCATGGTAGCTGTATAGCAAAAATCTATAATGGATACACTTAAAATAAGAAGCAACAAATTAAAACATACTGTAACCAAGTAGCCCCATTTTTCTAAGAAAAAGGAGTTGCTATTATTTTTTATTATTTTCTTCTTCTCTCTTTCCTCCGTTTCCCCATTCCTCACTTCATACATAGTCCTTTAGAAATGCAATTATCACCTTTGACCTGCCCTTCACCAGAAACTCTCTAGAGGCCAAGTTTGTTTTACTATATGCTTAGAAGCTCCAGAGTGGAATTTTCAGCCACCAGGAGACTGCCTCCAGAGATAACAGATGAATTACAATCCAAAGTCCCACTATGAAACTCTCTCCCATCTAGACAGTTTTCAGCCACCTTTACAATCTATTTCTGCCCATGAAATGCTAACTCAACTGCCCAGTACGTAAGGCACCACGTTAGCATGTGGGCCCACCCACCTGCTCACCTCCTCCCCTTTGGTGTCATTCATGATAGGCCCCCTTTAAAAGTGTCCACTTTCTGCTCCAAAGGTGAATGGGTACCCTTAAGGCAGGAAGGAAGCCCGTACTTCTTCCCCTAAGCTAGCTTTGGAATAAAAGGTCACTTTGTTTACACCAGACCTGCCTCGCAAGTGACCCTACCATGCGGTTACAATACTACCAGAAAAAATCACTTAACTACAATTCAAGAGACTTTTACTCTAAAGTTTATTTTAGGCTGAGAGAAAAGCACAGAAATAAACCAAAACAAGAACTAAGTCAGTTGAGAGAAGTACTTAGTCATGATCTGGAGGAGGAAGAAGATTGTTCAGAGCTAATGGGGTGGAGTAAGCTGGCAGCAGATGGAAAGAGGGGATGAGTGAGGTCAGTGTTGGGATCTCAGGGAATCGTGGGCATGGGGAGGGAACTGGAGTTTCTTCTAAGCAGAGTGGGCACTACCATTGGAAGTTTTCAGGCATGAGAATAAGGTGATCTGATGCAGGTTTTAAAAAGATACATGGCTGCAGCATGAAAAATAACTCACGGTGAGGATGCAGAGCTTGTTAATGAAACTAAAGCTTTCAGTACCATAGGGAAAAGAAAGTGCAAGAATCTGGGAGCAGTACACGGGAGACGAAGCTGGGGAGGGCGGGTAGGGGTCAGATCATGAAGGGTTTTGTTTGTCAAGTAAAAAAAAAAAAAACAAAAAAAGATTTTTTTGGTAATCCTTTCATGCTGACGTCCATAAATTAAGATCACAGCTCCAGAGAGTTTTGCATGTTTATAAGATGAGAATCTTTTAAAATTGGATAACAATTTATATCAAATGGAATGTGCTTCTACTGTCAACAGCTCTTTGGCATTAATTGTACTGTCCAACTTCAGCTGATTTTTTTCAGATTAAAAACATTATATAAAACTAATGCTTAATTACCTGTTAAACAATACTTATACAATGTCTGAATGCTCATTAGTTATAACCTCCTTTATGCTGACATTTTATTAAAGAAGTCTTTTTTTTAACCATTTTAGGGATGTTAAAAGATTCATTCATGTTGGCATTGAGGTTGAAGGATAAAAAGTACCATACTAGAGCACAGGAGATTCTCTCTAAACCTCTGTTTCTTTTCTGTTAAATAATAATGGGGCCTACCTCATAGAGTTGTGCTGAGGATTAAACAAGATACACAATGAATGTAGCGCAATGTTTAGTGTAAGTGCTTAGTAAATAGTAACTATTATTATTGTTATGATCATCTTTGTCATCATCATAAGCAATGCATTTAATAAGTTTCTTCCATTAAGATTGTTTTTCTAACATTCATAATGTATTTATAAGTCAACAGTGATTAACAACAAAAAAAAACCCACAATCTCATAAATACCTAAAAGTACTACATGAAAGAATATATACACGCATACACACACTCACATACACACAAATGTGTTTTGGTTTTTGGATGAATCTTAAATTGTAAAACAAATTTCATAAGCAATTCTAAGTTAAAGTATTGGCCATGAGAAGGCCTGGCAACGGCATTGGGAAAAAATCACATCACTTATTTAATCAGCAAGTATTATTGAGTGCCACGTATGAGTTGGTGTCATTCTGGATATCAGAGACACAGGGATGAGCAAGACAGTCCCTGCGCTCATGGAGTGCATTGGCATCTAGTGAAAAGTAGAGAAAACAGGGAAGCTAGAATTTAAAATGGAAAAAAAAAAAAAAGGTGAGTAAAGGAGATACTTTAATAATACATGCTTTGAAAAAAAATGAAGGATGATAAAAGTGTGACTTGTCAGAAATGGGATGGGCTATTTAGATGGAGTTGTCAGAGACCTTTCAAAAGCTTAGAATTAGGAGGAAGACAAGAAGGCCTCTGTCCTTCAGGAGCCTGTATGCAATGGGAAGACAGAGATTCAAACAGATAACTTCAATTGACTGTGATCACTGCTCACCATTGTGTGTAGGAACACAGTCAGAATTTAACAAATAACTACTCAACAAATTACAATACAATCTCATTGCAACAGCGGCTCTGTGAATACCTGAGTTTGCTGAGGAGAGTCAAGAAGACCCTAAAGAAGGGAACACTTGAACTGAGACTTAAATGAAAGGGTAATTGACATCGGCATAAGCGTTACTGAGGGCATTCAAGTAAAGAAACTAGTACAGACAAAGGGATGAGAAGATGTGATAAAACAGAACTACTGGTAATTTAGAACCTTTGAAAAGCAAAGTGGAGGCTAAAAGTAGAGGCAGGAGAGGAGAGGATTTGTGCTATGCTAAGGAGTTTGTAACTTACCTTAAAAGTAGTGGGGGCTGAAAAGGCTTTGGAGTAGAAGAGTGAAGTGAACAGATTTGAGTGCTGGAGTGACTACCCTGTCAGCAAGTGCAGGAAAATAAAAGCCCCTCTCTGTTTTTCCTTGCTCTTAATTCAGTGTGCTCCTATGCAAAGAGCACAGGATTTGGATTCAGAGAAACTGGACCTGAATGCCTGGAAAGCAGCTTAGTCAGGTTTGTAATACAGGATAAGAGTTTGCTTCCTTGAAAACAGTATTTTAATTCTATTGGATATCCAAAACTTTCAGCTGATTTCATTTTAAGTGATAAAATTCTCATGTCAAGAAAATTCTGGCACCCAATGATTGTAATTACATGTATGTATGACAATAAGAAATGAACCACAGAGAAAAATTTCAGTTAATGATTTCATAATCATACCTTATATATGTGTGACATTTTGAGTTCTTTGACTACACTGAAGTAATTTGAATTGGTTACTTGCTGTGGGTAGGAAGTTAAGCCGGCTCCATTTTATTATTTCCAAATCCTCACAAAATAAATGAAAAGGTTTGGGGAAAAGGTGTATTGCTAATGCATTCATGTCTCTGTTGTAAAATTTGGTTCCATTCTTGATTGCTTTTGTTGCTATTATTTTGTTTCTTCTTGTATTTAAACATTGATAATTACTCTTCAGCAGTATAACTGTCCTCACTTGGAATTTGTGTAATTGTAGTACACTCACCTTTTCCAGCTAGGTAATGAAGAGATGCTTTTCGTTGCTAGAACATCATTGCACAGCTCCTGTTTTTCTTCAAAAGAACATAGACAAAACTATCACATTTGGATGATCACACAATAAACTGAACCAAAAGAAATGTTAGTGGTTCATTAACTACCTCTGTATAATATAGGTTTGTATTCAAACATCCATTTATAAAACTGTACCAGTTTTAAGGAGATTAATAATATATTCTTAAGGTAGTTCATAATGTTTTAAAATAAGGTTTATGTAGTATATATCGTTATCCAAGAGACTGTGTAACATTTTTTTTTTGGTAATTTTTAAATTGACGTTTCTTACAGTGCCTGGAGGACTGATCAGAACTGTTGATTCCCTGCCTTCACCAGCCTCTACCAAGACAACCATCTTCCCCCTAATATCCCACTTTCTACTATTTTGGGTTCAGGTTCAAAGACATTCTGATGGATCCCAACAACAAAAGTGTCTCCAGTAGAAAGATGAACTTTAAAGCAGGAAGAAACCTAGAGTCGTTTAGTCTTCTCACTCAGAGGACCTCAGAATTATAGGCTAACAGAGCTTGGTGATTTATTTTCAGCTCACATCAAAGCAGAAATTCTATGATCCACTTGGATTTTATACATATATATATACACATGTATATTTTATTGGACTTTAGGTTCTGGAGTACATGTGAAGAATATGCAGGATTGCTGCATAGGTGCACACATGGCAATGTGGTTTGCTGTCTCCATCCCCATCACCTATATCTGACATTTATCCCCATATTATCACTCCCCAACCTCCCTACCCGCTACTGTCCCTCCTCTATTTCTCCCCAGCAGACCTCAGTTTGTGATGCTCCCTCCCTATGTCCATGTGTTCTCATTCTTCAACACCAACCTATGAGTGAGAACATGTGATGTTTGATTTTCTGTTCTTGTGTCAGTTTGCTGAGAATGATGGTTTCCAGATTTACCCATGTCCCTACAAAGGACACGAACTCATTGTTTTTTATGGCTGCATAGTATTTCATGGTGTATATGTGCCACATTTTCTTTGTCCAGTCTATCATCAATAGGCATTTGGGTTGGTTCCAGGTCTTTGCTATTGTAAACAGTGCCACAATGAACATACGTGTGCATGTGTCTTTATAACAGAACGATTTACAATCCTTTGGATATATACTCAGTAATGGGATTGCTGGGTCAAATGGAATTTCTAGGACCTTGAGGAATCGCCACACTGTCTTCCATGATGGTTGAACTAATTTACACTCCCACCAACGGTGTAAAAGTGTTCCTATTTCTCCACATCCTCTCCAGCATCTGTTGTCTCCAGATTTTTTAATGATTGCCATTCTAACTAGTGTGAGATGGTATCTCAATGTGGTTTTGATTTGCATTTCTCTAATGACCAGAGAGATGAGCATTTTTCCATGTTTGTTGGCCTAATAAATGTCTTCTTTTGAAAAGTGTCTGTTCATGTCCTTCACCCACTTTTAAATGGCTTTGTTTGTTTTTTTCTTGTAAATCTGTTTTAGATCTTTGTACATTCTGGATATTAGCCTTCTGTCAGATGGGTAGATTGTAAAAATTTTTTCCCATTCTGTTGGTTGCCAGTTCACTCTAATGATTGTTTCTTTTGCTGTACAGAAGCTCAGGAGTGTAATTAGATCCCATTTGTCTATTTTGGCTTTTGTTGCCAGTGCTTTTGGTGTTTTAGTCATGAAGTCTTTGCCTATGCCTACGTCCTGAATGGTTTTGCCTAGGTTTTCTGCTAGGGTTTTTATGGTGTTAGGTCTTATGTTTAAATCTTAAATCCATCTGGAGTTAATTTGAGTGTAAGGTGTCAGGAAGGGGTCCAGTTTCTGCTTTCTGCACATGGCTAGCCAGTTTTCCCAACACCATTTATTAAACAGGGACTCCTTTCTCCATTGCTTGTTTTTGTCAGGTTTTTCAAAGATCAGATGGTTATAGATGCGTGGTGTTGCCTCTGAGGCCTCTGTTCTGTTTCATTGATCTATATCTCTGTTTTGGCACCAGTACCATGCTGTTTTGACTGCTGTAGCCTTGTAGTATAGTTTTGAAGTCAGGTAGCAAGATGCCTCCAGCTTTGTTCTTTTTGCTTAGAATTGTCTTGGTTATGTGGGCTCTCTTTTGGTTCCACATGAAGTTTAAGGTAGTTTTTTCTAGTTCTGTGAAGAGGGTCATAGGTAGCTTGATGGAGATAGCATTGAATCTATAAATTACTTTGGGCAGTATGGCCATTTTCACAGTATTGATTCTTCCTAACCAACAGTTTTTCCATCTGTTTGTGCCCTCTCTTATTTCCTTGAGCTGTGGTTTGTAGTTCTCCTTGAAGAGGTCCTTTACATCTTTTGTTAGTTGTATTCCTAGGTATTTTATTCTCTTTGTAGCAACTGTGAATGGCAGTTCGTTCTTGATTTGGCTCTCTTTAAGTCTGTTATTGGTGTATAGGAATGATTGTGATTTCTGCATATTGATTTTGTATTCTGAGACTTTGCTGAAGTTGCTTATCAGTTTCAGTAGATTTGGGGCTAAGACGATGGAGTCTTCCAAATATACAATCACGTCATCTGCAAATAGACACAACTTGACTTCCTCCTTTCCTAAGTGAATTCCCTTTATTTCTTTTCTTGCCTGATTGCTCTGGCTAGAACTTCCAATGCCATATTGAATAGGAATGGTGAGAGAGGACATCCTTGTCTAGTGCCAGATTTCAAAGGGAATGCTACCAGTTTTGCCCATTCAATATGATATTGGCTGTGGGTTTGTTGTATATAGCTTTTATTGCTTTGAGATAAGTTCCATCAATATCTAGCTTATTGAGTTTTTAGCATGAAGGGCTGTTGAATTCTGTTGAAGACCTTCTCTGTATCTACTGAGATGATCATGTGGTTTTTGTCTTTGGTTCTGTTTATGTGGTGGTTTATGTTTATAGACTTGCATATGTTGAACCAGCCTTGCATCTCCAGGATGAAGCCTACTAGATCGTGATGGATAAACTTTTTGATGTGCAGTTGCAATCAGTTTACCAGTATTTTATTGAAGATTTTTGCATCTATGTTCATCATGGATATTGGCCTGAAGTTTTCTGTTTTTGTTGAGCCTTTGCTGGGTTTTGGTATCATGATGATGTAGGTCTCATAAAATGATTTGGGAAGGATTCTCTCTTTGTTGATTGTTTGCAATAGTTTCAGAAGGAGTGGTACCCACTCCTCTTTGTATGTCTGGTAGAATTTGGCTGTGAACTCATCTGGACCTGGGCATTTTTTGGTTGGTAGGCTATTAATTGCTGCCTCGACTTCAGCCCTTGTTATTGGTCTATTCAGGGTTTCGACTTCCTCTTGGTTTATGCTTGGGAGGGTGCAAGTGTCTAGGAATTTATCCATTTCTTCCAAGTTTACTGGCTTATGTGCATAGAGTTGTCTGTAGTAATCTCTGATTGTAGTTTGTATTTCTGTGGAATCCGTGGTGATATCCCCTTTATCATTTTTTTATTGCATCTATTTGATTCTTCTCTCTTTTTTTATTAATCTGGCTAGTGGTCTATTTTGTTGATCTTTTCAAAAAACCAGCTCCTGGATTTATCGATGTTTCGAAGGTTTTTTGGTGTCTCTATCTCCTTTAGTTCTGCTCTGACCTTAGTTATTTCTTGCCTTCTGCTAGCTTTTGAGTTTTTTTTTTTTTTTGATCTTGCTCCTCTAGCTCTTTCAATTTTGATGATAAGGTCTTGGTTTTAGATCTTTCCTTGCTTCTCATGTGGGCATTTATTGCTATAAATTTCCCTCTAGATACTGCTTTAAATGTGTCCCAGAGATTCTGGTATGTGTGTCTTCATTCTCGTTGGTTTCAAAGAACATCTTTATTTCTGCCTTCATTTCATTGTTTATCCAGTCAACATTCAAGAGCCAGCTGTTCAGTTTCCATCAAGTTGTGTGGTTCTGAGTTAGTTTCTTAATCCTGAGTTCTAATTTGATGGCACTGTGGTCTGAGAGACTGTCTGTTATGATTTCCATTCTTTTGCATTTGCTGAGGAGTCATTTACTTCCAATTATGTGGTCAGTTTTAGAGTAGGTGTGATGTGGTGCTGAGAAGAATGTATGTTCTGTGGATTTGGGGTGCAGAGTTCTGTAGATGTCTATTAGGTTTGTTTGGTCCAGGTCTGAGTTCAAGTCCTTGATATCCTTGTTAATTTTCTGTCTCATTGATCTAATATTGACAGTAGAGTGTTAACGTCTCCCACTATTATTGTGTGGGAGTCTAAGTCTCTTTGTAGGTCGTTAAGAACTTGCTTTATGTATCTGGGTGCTCCTGTGTTGGCTGCATATATATTTAGGATCGTTAGCTCTTCTTGTTGCATTGATCCTTTTACCATTATGTAATGCCCTTTGTCTCTTTTGATGTTTGTTGGTTTAAAATCTATTTTATCAGAGACTAGGATTGCAACTCCTACTTTTTTTTGCTCTCCATTTGCTTGATAAATCTTCCTCATCCCTTTATTTTGAGCCTGTGTGTGTCCTTGCATGTGAGATGGGTTTCCTGGATACAGCACACCAATGGGTTTTGACTTTTTATCTAATTTGCCAGTCTGTGTCTTTTGATTGGGGCGTTCAGCCCCATTTACATTTAAGGTTAATATTTTTATGTGTGAATTTGATCCTACCATTTTTATTCTAGCTGACTGTTTTGTCCATTAGTTGATGCAGTTTCTTCATTGTGTCGATGTTTTTCACCATTTGGTACATTTTTGGAGTGGCTGGTACTGGTTGTTCCTTTCTATGTTTAGTGCTTCTTTCAGCAGGTCTTGTAAAGCAGGCCTGATGGTGATCATATCTCTGAGCAATTGCTTGTCCATAAATGCTTTTATTTCTCCTTCGTTTATGGAGCTTAGTTTGGCTGGACATGAAATTCTAAGTTGAAAGTTCTTTTCTTTAAGGATGTTGAATATTGGCCCCCACTCTCTTCTGTCCTGTAGGGTTTCTGCCGAGAGATCTGCTGTGTCTGATGGGCTTCCCCTTCTGGGTAACCAGACCTTTCTCACTGGCTACCCTTAGCATTGTTTCCTTCATTTCAATGCTGGTGAATCTGATGATTATGTGCCTTGGGGTTGCTCTTCTTGAGGAATATCTTTGTGGTGTTCTCTGTATTTCCTAGACTTGAATGTTGGCCTGCCTTGCTAGATTGGGGAAGTTTTCCTGAATAATATCCCGAAGAGTGTTTTCCAGCTTGGATTTATTTTCTCCATCACATTCAGGTACACCTATCAAACGTAGATTAGGTCTTTTCACAAAATTCCGTATCTTTTGGATGCTTTGTTCATTTCTTTTCACTCTTTTTTTCTCTAATCTTGACTTTTCATTTTATTTCATTGAGTTTGACTTCAATCTCTCATAGCTTTCTTCTGCTTGGTTGATTCAGCTATTGAAACTTGTGTATGCTTCGCGAAGTTCTCGTGTTGTGTTTTTCAGCTCCATCAGGTCATTTATATTCTTCTCTAAACTGTTTATTCTCATTAGCATTTTGTCAAGGTTCTTAGTTTCTTTGCTTTGGGTTAGAACATGATCTTTTAGCTCAGAGAAGTTTGTTATTACCCACCTTCTGAAGGCTGTTTCTGTCAATTCACCAGACTTATTCTCCAACCAGCCTTGTTCCCTTGCTGGTAAGGAGTTGTGATCCCTTGGAGGAGGAGAGGCATTCTGATTTGGGGTGTTTTTGTCCTTTTTGCACTGGTTTCTTCCCATCTTTGTGGATTTATTTACCCGTGGTCTTTGTAGTTGGTGACTTTCAGATGGGGTCTCTGAGTGGACATCCTTTTTGTTGATGATGAAGTTATTTCTTTCTGTTTTTTAGTTTTCCTTCTAACAGTCAGGTCCCTCTGCTGCAGGATTGCTGAAGGTCCACTCCAGACCCTGAGAATCACCTGCCTGGGAATCACCTGCGGTGGCTGCAGAACAAAGGATTGCTGCCAGTTTCTTCTTCTGTTATCTTAGTCCCAGAAGGATACCTGCCAGATGTCAGGCTCAGCTCTACTTTGTGAAGTGTCTCTTTCGATATACAGGGGTCAGGGAGCTGCTCCTTGTAGGAGCTCAAGTGCTGAGTTGTGAGCTCCGTTGTTCTGTTCAGAGCTTCTGGGCAGGTACATTGAAGTCTGCTGCAGTGGAACTCATAACCGCCTTTCTTCCCAGGTGCTCTGTCCTGAGAAGGTGGAGCTTTATTTATACATTCCTGATGTGCTGCTGCCTTTTTTTAGAGATGCCCTGCCCAGCTAGGAGGTAGCCTACTTACAGTCTGCCAGCAGAGGCATTGCTGAGCTGCTGTGGGCTCTGCCCAGCTGTTGTGTGAACTTCCTTGTGGTTTTGTTTATAGAGGTATAGACAGAACTACCTCAGTAATGGCAGCCTGCCTCAATAATGACAGACAGCCTCTGTAATGGTGGACTGCCTCGGTAATGGTGGACTGCCTCAGTAGTGGTGGACTGCCTCAGTAATGGTGGACAACCTTCCCTCCACAGAGCTGGACCATCCCAGGTCCAGCTGCGCTTGCTGTAAAACTCTCAATCCAGGAATTTCAGATTGCGGGTCTTTGTGGGGGCCAGATCACCTGGTTCCCTGTTTCAGCCCCCTTTTTTTCAGTTGAATGGGCGGCTCTGTCTCCCAGGCGTTCCAGGTGCCAGTTGAAATGGCCGCCCAGATTTGTGTGAGTTTTTGTGCGGAGACCTGCTGTGCAGGCTGAAACAGCTGTGCTGGAAACTCATGGTGCTTTTCAGCCCGGGAATCTCCTGGTCTGTGGGCAGTAACAACTCATTTGGAAATGCAGTGATCACTCATCCTCTGCATTGTTCTCGCTCGGAACTGCACTTCAGAGGTGTTCCTATTTGGCCATCTTAGATCCCTATCTGGATTGTTTATTTATTTATTTATTTTTGAGACGGAGTTTCGCTCTTGTTACCCAGGCTGGAGTGCAATGGCGCGATCTCGGCTCACCGCAACCTCCGCCTCCTGGGTTCAGGCAATTCTCCTGCCTCAGCCTCCTGAGTAGCTGGGATTACAGGCACGTGCCACCATGCCCAGCTGATTTTTTTTAGTTTTAGTAGAGACGGGGTTTCACCATGTTGACCAGGATGGTCTCGATCTCTTGACCTCGTGATCCACCCGCCTCGGCCTCCCAAAGTGCTGGGATTACAGGCATGAGCCACCGCGCCCGGCCCTGGATTGTTTTAAGAGTGTGTTGAGGACAGTATAAGCACTGAGTGAAAGTAGAAGTCTTTGTTATAACTGTCCAGACATCATGATCCACTAAGCAAACATTTACCAACAAATTTAGGGTTATTGAAGGCTAAGTAGAAGAGGACATCAACAAGCAAAGTTCTGGATGGTGGGTAAATGGCTGAGGATCTGCCTGACTCTTTTAAGGAAAAAGAATGGATGTACAGATGTTTTCCAACCATGCTGTAGGCAGCATTGGTTTTGCTCAGTGACTTGCACTGCAAAGTGAAAATTTTTAACCCAACAGCTAACTAATTCAAAATAATAGTCATTTGAAAACATTTCACAATTTTTTCCTGCCAAACCCAGGAAGAGTATTTAAAATTAAATATTAATTTTAGGATAAAACTGTATTAGCAATTTTTTCTAGTACAATTTGGAAATCCAACAGAACCATATTTGAAGGCACAGCAGTAGTTTGAACTGTCTATAAAAGACTGGCTTTAAAATTAAGGCACCCTTACAAAGAAATCCTGATGGTGGAATTGCAAATTATTGTAATTAAGATGAAAAAGAAAAAGCATGATTTCTTAGGGACCTCACTAATGGGTTCAAACATAAAGTTGTGAATGAATAGCGGATTAGGTTACCTAAGCAACAGAGAAGGAAGGAAGAACATGCCGCCAAATGAGAATATAAAACCACGGCATGGATCATAAAGAAAAGGATTGGGAATGATGAAACCAAATGAGCTCAGACGAAGAAGACTAAGATCTTTAAAACTTATTTCAAAATAAGACAAAGGCAATGAAAACAATGGATGTGCTTCTTGGGTCCAATGGTATAATATTAAAATAAAGAGAATGCGATAATAATAATATTAGAATGCATAATAAAAGAAGTACAGTAATAACAATGAATGAACACTAAGAAAATAAATATTTTGAATCTAGTTTGTTTTCCGCTTCTCTACCCAGGAAATTATTACTGGATTGAATATTATAAGATGGCAGCTTATGCCTTAAATAAGTTCAAGCCTTTTATCTGAGACACATTACATCCCCTGGGCATGAAGAAACTCATAAACGTGTTTGTTGAACTACTTTTAGGAACCTCAGAAGAATAATGAAAAGCAGAAAGTTACTAAAAGATAAAAAAACAGGGACTATCATCATCATAATTTTCAAAACTCTTTTTGAAAATTATTGACCTAATATCAATCCTAATCAAAATTAGAAAGAGAATTCAAAACAAAGAATGGTGTAAGTCTATGGAAATTTCAGGCAGTGTGGCAGTGTTGTGGACACTATCCTCAGCCAGAAAGTGTCTCTCTGCCCATCAAAACATACAAGGTTGGCAGTTCACCCTCTCTCTACTCCTCTCACTTCTAGAAAAACAAACCTAATTTTTTAAAATCCAAACTTAATTTTTAAAATCCAAACTTCTGATCTATATATCAGGCTGTCGAGCCATATTGAAAACGTCTCAAACATTACAGTTAATATAGATAGATATAGATATAGATATGTGAGCTGATTTGTTTTACCTTGGTTTATAAGAGGAATTTCCTTTTTTTCTTGTTTCAATGAAACATCCGTGTTGCTTTTATCTGAAACCTGAAAAACAAGTTCTTTATTTAAAACTGTACAAATAGATGGGACATATTATACACTTGATAAAAGACATGAAAGGCAGTGCTCCCATCGGAAGAGAGATCATAACGTTAGCAGCAGTAAAGTTATGCACCTGTTATAAAGGGAACAAATGGTACATGAACAAAATGAAAATAGCATACATTTCAAGAATGATTACATTACCATAGTCATGTTTACTCAGTTGATTTCCTTAAAGTGATTTTTGTATTTCTACTAATATTTGTATAGCTATTTTAAAAATCGGTATCACACGTGGATGTAATGATGTCTACAACAAGGTCAAGTATTTGATTCACCAGCAACAACCATTGAGCCTCTATTGTTTTTTGTTTGTTTTTTGAGACGGAGTCTCATTCTGTCCCCAGACTGGAGTGCAGTTGTGTGATCTTGGCTCACTGCAACCTCCAGCTCCCTGGTTCAAGTGATTCTCCTGCCTCAGCCTCCTGAGTAGGACTGGGACTACAGGTGTAAACTGCCACGCCCAGCTAATTTTTGTATTTTTTTAGTAGAAACAGGGTTTCACCATGTTGGCCAAGATAGTCTTGATCTCTCGAACTCATTCATGATCCGCCCACCTCTGCCTCCCAAAGTGCTGGGATTACAGGCGTGGGCCACTGTACCCGGCCACCTCTATTGTTTTGAGGAAGCTTAGGGTACCTCTGGTTGCTGCAAAGCAGACAAAGTAGGAGTTCAGCATCCGTGCCATGAAAACTTTGGAGAGTTTGGGGCTGGGGCCTGTAGTCCCAAAACATAATAAGAATATGGGGAAGAGGATGGGAAGGTGACCTGGAATACTGGGGGATGGGACATCTCATCTTCTAACAAAATCCCAGGCAAATTGCCTGAAGGGGGTTGCAGAGCCTTGGTGTGTTGATTGCTGGAGCCAGGAGGGCTACTTGCGCCTGGAAAGAGAGAGGACATATATGTGTTTGTGTGTGGTTGTGGGGCACAAGGTGGGAATGGATGGGGGACATTTGAGGGGTGGAGTGCGCCATTCATAAGCCAGGTCTATCATCACTTTGGGAATCCTGTTAGGCTCCATTTTACAAGACTCACACAAAGCAAACTTACACTTTGTGAATATACTTTAAATGAGAGAGAAAGAGAGAGTGAAAGTGTCTGTTTATGCCTTCGGGGAAAGACACCCAGAATGCTCCCTCTATGTATTTTGTAAATCTGTGAGAAGGTGTAGGAATAGGCAGTTATGAAAGAAAGGAAGAAAGGCAATGAAGAAGGCAAGCAGAAGGCAAAAAGCTCCTGTCTGCTCGTTGCTCTGAAGACCCGTGAACACACACTGATACACATGCAACCATGTCCCCAACTCTGTTACCTCATGGAAGATAGGGAGCTGTCAGTTTTCTTGAAGTTTGCTCATTGCAAAGTTTGCTCATCTTTCATCTTTCATGCCCCTTCTAACCTGCTAAACAAATGTGGTCTAGAGAGGATGTCCACCCTCTTTTTTTCCCCTCCCAGGAAACATAGGAGTATTTTTACACAGCATTCCGGAAACTGTGCTCTCTCAGGAAGTAGATTAAATGGGCACACACGGAGCCTAGTAACAAAATAACTATGTAGCTGTCTATCATTGCCATTTTCCATTTCACCTAAATCAAGAGCAAGAAAAGCCTTATGGATAAGGGAGAAATAAATAAGACTACTTCTAAACTACTTTTGTCTATTTCAAAAAAATTTTTTGTACTTAAATTGTAAGTGCCTGCCCCAGGAAGTAATCAAAATGCATATTTCTTAAAGATTCATTTTGCAAAAATCTTGAAAGTGACTTTAAAATGCATGTTTTATTTACCTCTGATGAACATAAAATTTAAAGTTTTCTTCTGATGCGCTGATATGTAAGGAAAATCTACATGATACTAAGTGTCTCCAACTTCAGACTAAAGATTTTTCCAACCAGTTTATAAACAGCATAGACTATTTTCAACAACATCTAATAGGAACCACAAGATAAGCTTATGAGAAGAACTATTTAATGCCTTTCATTATAAGCACTTCGTTATAATCCATGATGATTATATCAAAATGTGTTAATTTTCTTTGGGAACCTTCTTCTATGATGAAATCAGACAAGATGAAAGTATCCAAGATTAAAGAAAATGACAGCACTCCCAGAAGAGAAATTTTGTTGTTGGTGTTATTAATGCAGTCTCACAAAATTAATTATGTTTGCATTATATTGTTTAGTTCTCTGCTTTGAGCTCTGTCTTGTTAGGGCTATTTTTCTAGGATCAGATATGCCCCCTTACTCCAAAAATGTTACTTGTACAAAGCTCTGCCATCTCTATAACATGAAAAATTTATTCTTCCTTTGCTTTATTATCTTTATTCTTTATATTGAAAGCATAGAAATGTTTAAAAGATTTTTGGATAAATGATTTAAAGCCTACAGTATTTTCTTTGAAATAACATTGTATAAATCTGATTTTATAGGATGCTGCCTTCTATTACAATATAGTTGAAGGTCTTATTTTTTTCAAAATGAGACAAGAAAACACACAGCTGTTTTTTCAATTACATGACTTGTATACTTGATCTTACTTACAAAGGTCTTTCATTTATATTAATTGGTTTCATTATAGAAATGTTCTTCAGTCACTTAAGCTTAACTGTGTCTCATATTCTGAAGTTTGAGGAACTCTCTTGCCTGAGATTTTTACCTATATCACGAAACAGACAACACCTCACACAAAGCAAATGAGATTATAGTTTAGTCTTAACATGGAGTTTAAGACATCTTAATTAAAATTATGTTAACAATGAGCAGGGTGGGATTTGTCAGTTCTTCAAGGGATGCAACGGATCAACGTAATACCACATGTTCAATTTTGTAAAGTATCTACTTAAGAAGATAAATAAATCATAAATAAGTCAGAGGGGAAAAAAGAACACATCACAGGCAGCTTTGCTACACCTATTTAATTTCATTATTGTTAAGGAAGCTTAAAAACTGGATGATATCGGGCCGGGCGCGGTGGCTCAAGCCTGTAATCCCAGCACTTTGGGAGGCCGAGGCGGGTGGATCACGAGGTCAAGAGATCGAGACCATCCTGGTCAACATGGTGAAACCCCGTCTCTACTAAAAATACAAAAAGTTAGCTGGGCATGGTGGCACGTGCCTGTAATCCCAGCTACTCAGGAGGCTGAGGCAGGAGAATTGCCTGAACCCAGGAGGCGGAGGTTGCGGTGAGCCGAGATCGCGCCATTGCACTCCAGCCTGGGTAACGAGAGTGAAACTCCGTCTCAAAAAAAAAAAAAAAAACTGGATGATATCACTTTATCTGATTACTTCTACTCCTTTAACCCTCCAAGCCTACTTCAAGCACATTATTATGAAGAATCCATAAAGGCTATGATACCAGTAAATACCTTTCTGGCAGCTTCAAAGACCCTTTCTGTTTGCACTTGTCATGGTTAACATTATGTTCCAGGCCCTCCCCTTCACTCAATAATTTACTCAATAACATTGGGTTCCTAGCGTGGACCAGGTACTATTACAGTGAAAAGTTCAAAGTCCTCCTGATATGGTTTGGCTATGTCCCCACTCAAATGTCGACTTGAATTGTAGCTCCCATAATCTCATGTGTCGTGGGAGGGACCCGGTAGGAGGTAACTGAATCACGGGGGTGTGTTTTTCCCATGCTGCTCTTGTCACAGTGAATAAGTCTCAGAAGATCTGATGGTTTTATAAAGTGGAGTTCCCCCACACACGTTCTCTTGCCTGCTGCCATGTAAGACATGCCTTTGCTCTTCTTTTGCCTTCTGCCATGATTGTGAGGCCTCCCCAGCCATGTGGAACCTCTTTTTCTTTATTAATTATCCATTCTCAGGTATTTCTTCATAGCAGTATGAAAATGGACTTATATACCTGCCTTTATGGAATGAATTTTCTATATTCAATAAATAAAAAGATAAACATGTAATATATTGTCAGGTAATGGAAGTTCTGAGAAGAAAAACAACACAGGTGAGAGAGAGTGATATAAGATCCTGCATAATCTGACCCCCTCACTGCTCTGTTCTCATCTCACATCCTCCATTTGCCTCTAGCAGCTCTTTGACAAATACGCCAGGCACACTCCTCTCAAGTCTTTGGCTTGTTTACTATAGACTTGTTTGTTCCCCCAGCTTTTCCCTAGTCTTGCCTAAGCATCCCATTCATTAGTGGGGCCATCTGTGGTCACGCTACCTAAAATTGCAACTCCTGTTCACCACCTGCAACACAGATACTTCCTATTCCCGTCCTTTGCTTTCTTTTTCTCCCTGATACTTGTTATTACCTACCATGCACCGTATTTACTTATTCATCTCATCTGTTGAATGATCCCCCCACTAGAATGGAAGCTCCACAAAGACAGGAAGGATTGTCTGTTTTTTCCCCTGCTGGACCCCCATTGTCTAGGACAGCAACTGATGTTCAAGATATTCAGAGAACAAGAGAAAGTTTAAAAAATCAAGTCATGAAAATACATGTGTGTTGCTGACAGTGGTGATGGGGTGGTGTAGGTAGTAGAGTACAGGTATACGACCGATAAAGGAAAATGCTTAGGCTTATGTTTCTCTCTTACTGGTATTATTTTTCTTCACAGAATTTATATGACCTAATATTATATTACTTATTTACCCTTTTATTTAATATTCCTTAGGGTACTGGAGGCCAACTATGGTCAGAGTGGCCACAGTGGACTAAGAGAAGGAAGGAGCAGTGAGGTCTGTAGGTCAGGACATCTAGCGCTTTGGGGGCCACAGCAAGAACACTGAATTTTGTTCTAAGTATGAGCAGCAGCCATGGAAGAGTTTGAGTAGGTGAATGACATAATATGACATATTCTGGATGGCATACTCAGATTTTTAGACTGTGGTGGCCAAGAGAGACAGCGAGATGATTCATAGGAGTACTGCTGTAGTCCGGGTAAGAGATGTCAGTGTGTTGGCCAGAGTGGCAGCTA